AGGTTTTAGAATATTAATAGTTTTGAATAGATTTTTATTTTATTATTTATTACATTAGAATTAGTTTTAGCATAGAATATATATTAGTTTTTATTATTGTTCATTTATTAATTAGTTTGAAATAGTTTTTATTAATTAATTTTAATTTTTTTAATGTTCATGTAATACATATTTGTTTGTGCATATTTTTTAATAAAAGGAAATCCGTCCCAGCGGATGAGGCTGGTGTGTTATATACTTGCAGGATGGGGGTTCGATTCCCACCTGTGTTTGTTTTGTTTTTTATTTCAGTTTTTATTATCTTGTTGCTGTAACATATATTCATTCGTTCACGTTAATTAATGGAAATAGATATGTTATTATTTTTGTTATTATAGATTTTTAGTTTAATTATGATTTAGTATGTATATATATTTTTTTTTTTTCTTTTAATAGGATTTTATTATTATTATTTTTCTTTCACCACCCTTGTCCACATGTCAACCTTCTGGCATATATAAAGGTCCTGTTCACCTTTCCCTTACATAAGACAACCCTAAACCTCCTCAGCAGCCTCCAAACCCTAAACCTAGAGGACACAACCCTTAAAAAAATTTCAGCCTCCAACCCTAAGCCAATAAACCCTAACACTGTAGCCGCCGCTACAGTGTCATACCTAACCCTAACAGCCGTCCCAGCTCCCTCATCTGTCTTCACCAACCCATCTCCCTAAACTTTTCCAGATATCTCCTTCATCAACAACCAACCAGCTTCCATTGAAACCCTTTACCTCATCAAACAGCCACACCCAAATTTCCGTCAAACACTAAAAAACAAACAACCAACAATCCCCTTCAACCTTTCATACCACTATCGGCCTTAGACTAGCTCACCGAAAACAACAAAACCTTCAAACCGCAACAGCAGCAGTTCAAATAAAAACCCAAGACCTTTCTTTTTCTTCAATCGAACCATTGTTAGAAACAGAGAGAGAATGAGATGGAGTTGAAAAGAGAAGCTCGAAACCAGAAATCCAAGAGTTCGAGGAACAAAACTAAAACTTGAAACTGAAATCAGCGAAGCAGACAAAATGAAAGATGATGGAGATCAAAATATGGTTTTCTGAAACGAGTGAGTCATGAGCGAGAGAAACGGAGGGTGTATCATCATCCAACACCACCACGTTCTTTCTCTATCTTCTACATCAATACTCCCTACCATCTTCCGTTTTCAAGCTTAAACACCTTCTTCAGATCCAAACAACAAACTCATTAAGCTTCAAAACAAACTTCAAAAACCAAATCTTCATCAAACCACAAACACTCCCTCGCAGCAACACAATAACATCCTCCATCAAACTACCCAACTCACCATTTTCGGATCTCTTTCTAAACTTCATCCTTCCGAAAACTCAACCGCACAAACAGAAACCCACTAAACCATCCATCAAAATCGAACAAAACTTCCAGAAATCTTCACTTCAAACAAAACACCACAACCCAAATCACGAAACCCTCAACCGTTGAAAACCCCTCAAACCAAACCATAAATCCATCTGTGAATCTCCACCGCGTGAACCCGGAAGCCGCGACTAGCTCCGGCGAAACCATTTTCCATTAAGACCCATTTTCGTGTGAAGATACAGGTGAGAGTCAACAACGAAAATTGGAAACGGATGAAGGTGAGAGTGAAACTGAGAGCGATCGAGAGAGAGGAGCGTTGAACGGAGGGCATCCAAAACGGAATCGGAAACAGAGAGAGAGACACAGTGAGAGAGCGAGAGAGGTGATTTGAAGAAGAGGATACCGTCGTTTTCTTTTCTTATTTTTATTTATTTATTTCATTTTATTTTATTTTATTTTATTTAAAATGATTTGGGCTTAGCCCCCTACTTAATCTGACCCCCTTTCTGATTTAAAATCCACCCCCTGTTTTGTGAATATTTTACCATTTTGTTAATACTTTCTTTTTAAGATTTGACAACATATTATGTAAATAATCTTAGTATTAATTTATTTTTATTCTATATTATATATTATTTAGAATATTATATATTTGATTTGCATATATCATATTACTGTTTTAAATTTTCTTTTATTTTATATATTATGTTTATAGCTTCTTTAGAATTTATATACATATATATATTATTTTTATATTTAATTTAAATTTCTAGATTATATATTTTGTACATTATCATTATCCTGTAAATATTCAACACTTGTACATTCTTCCAAAAAATACCTAATAAAATATCGTAACCATTAAAATTTAAATTGGTGGACTGTTGGTTTCATATTCTGTATATTATGTATATTATCTGTATATATTTGTCTCTGTTTTTTTTATCTCTTTGGCAGGTACTCATCAATAAGGAATCAACTTACCTTTGTATTGAATTAAAAAGAGTGGGTTAAGTGTAGACTTCTCCCTCTCCGAGTGTCGAGATGCTCACTGTAGTGTGGGTGGTTTAGGCACTTGTATTTCAATACGAAGACGCTTCCACCCCTTTTCCTCCTAAAACCTCGGCTTCGCACCGAGTGCATTTTCAAAACCTCCGCTCCGCGCCGAGTACATTTCCAAAACCTTGGTTCCGTACCGAATCCATTTTCAAACCATCTTTCAATAAATCAATTTCTCTTTGTATTGAACTAAAAATAGAGGATTGGGTGTAGACCTCTTCTTCTCCGAGTGTTGGGATGCCCACTGTAGTGAGGGTGGTCTCGACACTCGTCTTTCAATACGAAGACGCGACCTTTATCCACCACCTATCACTTTCATAACTTCCTTCCGCAACTTTTCTCACCTAAAACCTCGGTCTCGCGCCGAGTGCATTTTCAAATCATTTTCACAACAAAAATTGAATGGTCGTGGAGTGGTTAGGCGTAAGCCTTCTCCTATCCCGAGTGTTGACGTTTACCGTAGGGTTCTCTATCGCAAGGCACTTACCATTCAAAACCAAAAACATTCTAATAAGAGAACGAAGCTCTCTTTGTATTGAATTAAAGAGAAAAGATTGGGTATAGACCTCTTCTTCTTCGAGTGTTGGGATGCCCACTGTAGTGAGGGTGGTTTCGACGCTCGTCTTTCAATACGAAGACGCCTCGTTCGCCACACCATTTTATAACAAAAACTTTGAGACAAAGAATTGGGTACTACCCGTAGGGGTTACTATCCGAGGACATGTCTCGCCCCCTAAAAAAACAATCCAATCAATCAAATGTGACTTCTTGCCCCGAGTGGCGAAAACCTAATCAATCTTTCAAAAAGGATATGTTACGTCCGTTCTACCGCAAACAGGTACGCATAAGTCTCCAAACGAGCGAGCAGCAAAACACCTAAACTGCTAGAATGCGCACGATAACATCATCCCCAAACACACCGGTTATCCGCACCGTAGGCACGAACTACGTTGCTCTGATTTCTCATCTGTTGAGAATACGTAGGCATAGGATTGCAATGATCCTAGCGAGCACCCTTTTTCTTTTTTACCTTTTCCCAGAAAGGCATGCTACGTCCGTTCTACCGCAAACAGGTAACGCCTAAGTCTCCAACGAGCGAGCAGCAATACACCTAACTGCTAGAATGCGCACGATAGCATCGTCTACCAGAATTTCCCCGCACACCGTAGGCCGAACTACGGCTGCTCTGATTCTTTACTCCGTTCAAGTAAAGATACGTAGGCACAAGGGCCACAATCCTTGCCGAGCACATTCCCCCTATATCTGTAGTTCCCCGAACTACGTCGACTCTGACTTTCTCACATCTATTGAGAATACGTAGGCCTAGGACTGCAAAGTCCTATCGAGTCTGTTATTTCTCTCTTCTTCCCCGTTACCTCTCTTTCCCTGTTTCTAACCCTTTATCTCTCTCCCTTTGGAACACATTTTTTATAGCATAATTTTTAAGCAAATATAATCACACATCGACAAACAAAAGGTTCCCATCGAGTACGATGGATGCGAGGGGTGCTAATACCTTCCCTTCGCATAACCGGCTTCCGAACCCGTTCATGGTTGCGAGACCATCTTATCCATTTCTTTCTTAAGGTTTTCTCGATATTTTCCTTCCCCTCATGGGATAAATAAAGTTCGGTGGCGACTCTTCTGTCCTTTCTTTTTCGCCTTCCCCGTCGTTGCGCGATGCATTTTTCGAGTAGCGACAATATGATATTAAAATATGAAAAATTATGCGTATTTTTGTTGGTAGATGATATGTCACGATCATCATAATTAGAATTATCAGGTCTACTACAAATTTTTGGTTCATCCTTTTAATAATCAATATGTTAATTTAATTCCTCAAATTTACAAAATAGCAATTCAAGTCCTTAAATTGAATAATGTATTAAATGTAGTCTTTTTTTTCTCTCTCCAAATTTAATACCATAATTTTGAAAGTTTTATGTTTGTCATGCATGAAGATTCAATAATCAAGAGACTATTCAAGTCAATATATAGGTCATTCGATGGTTTTGATGGATGTTTATTAAAAATATATTTTGATAGAGACTAGATGAATCGATGTTCTTCAATATTATAGAAGTGAATTACCTACAAATTTAGAGTCACAACAGAACAAAAATTAAACATTTCAGTCTAAAATGAAAATAACACTTCCATTAGCACTTATTAAACAAACCCTTAATTAAACTATATATTCAAATTCAAATGCCCCTACCAATAATTACATAACAGTTTTGACATATACATGCTACTTTGATAAATGTAAGTATGAATAAATTGGCCTTTATATTCCTTCTTCAATTTATCAAGTACATTTGAAACTTTGACCACTCATGTATGGTCATGGAAGAATTGATTTTTCACAACAAATTTTGCAACAACTTCAATTGTTACAAATTCAGAGGCCTCCCCTTGACATGAGGATAATTTAATAACACAACTATAACAAGACACATAAAGTTAAATGAAGTGTTGAATTATGAATGAGCTCAATAAACTAACCTATACTTACATGCTACAAAGACAATATATACATATTTTTAGTTTACTTGGTCATCATAGATTTTCCAGAAATGATAGTGTTGCTAAACCGGCCGCCCAAACATCGTCGTCTAGCACATCCTCTTGTGGAGAATGACTTATGCCTCCGCGACACCGCACAAATAGCATTCCTACCTGTTCAAAAAATCCTCATTCATTGTCATATTCTACCGATGAATGGGAAAATACTAACATAACAACTAATATACTAACATTAAGGCTCGAAGTAAACTTATATACAGAAAATAGAAGAAAAGGATGTAAAACCTTTGTTAAGCGAGACATTGCCATGGCATCATGCCCTGCTCCACTCATTAATGTGGGTACTTCATCTTGAATGTCACCCTCCATTCTCTTGAGTGCAGAATAAGCTGCAGACTTCAGCTGTGAGGTTAGTTCAGGATCACAAATCACAGCACCTGCATCATGCTGAGGGGAACACAGAGAAGACGATTGTTGATACACAATTCAGAAATCAAAGTTGTTTGTTTTAAGCTTAAGAATATGTTTGGTTGAACTTGATAACGTACCTTGTGTTCAATAAGGCAGGAAACTGAACGCTTGTCACATATCTGGTAAATTCGATTGGATAAATCATAGATAACAGCCTCGCGTCCGAGATCATCAATTGCTCGTATATCTACTGTATATGTAACCTGCAACAAATCATCGCGTTATCATCATAGTATTCAAAATTAAGGAACAAAAAAACATGTCCACTTGAAGATCACCAGGGCAACAACATTTTGGAAATTCATCGCTTGCCTGGCCTGGAATGACATTACTAGCACTTGGCCATGTTGATATTTCACCAACAGTACAAACAAGTGAACTTGAAAGTGATTTTATCGATGAATCGCTGCAATGACCATCAAAAGAAAGGTATTCTTCAGGATGTTTGCAGAGGCTTTCCATAAGTACAATTTGTTCAGCAGCGGCCACCATAGGATCCTGGCGCATGGACATTGGAACAGTTCCAGCATGACCTTGTGAGCCTTTAACCGTAACCTGCACAAAATAGCTTATCATTAAAATCATCTTTCACTTCATTTTTCGTATACAGATTACTTTCATTGTGCTTAAACACGTTGAGTTTTTGTTTGTTTTTATACTTTCAATCGTGTCTGCCCAGCTATGCCTTTAACGACACCAAGTGGGAAACCAACTTGTTCTAGCACAGGACCCTGCTCAATGTGAAGCTGCAGTACATAAGAAACAGGTTAGCTATGTTTGTGAAATTATTGAGCCAAACAGCACTATAAACGAATAGTGCAAATGCTCATTATACCTCAACATAACCCCAAACAGATTTTGGATCATACTTGAGCTGCGAAAACATTTCCTCTGTAGCTTCTATTGAGTTCTCTTTAAGAACATCTTTTATCATTACATTCCTGAAAGGCGTCTATAAGTAAATATATTTCTTACATGATGTTTTACAATAGCCATAACCAGAAAGTTCAAAGTTGATACCTCTTATCAGATATCGCCAATGTCGTATTAGGTAAAATACCAGCTATAGCCCCACTACCTAAGAAAGTAGTTTGAAATCTCACACCCTCTTCATCGCAAAATGCAATCACCTGCACGATTAGATGACGTTATAATGAATCAGGATTCAAGATAAGATTCATTTCCATCGAAATAGACACACACTAGAAATTTGTACTGTTCGAGTTCAAGTTAGTATCGAATCGAGAAACAACTTGTATCAGAATATATCATTAAAAAGATTGCAAATTATATCAATCAGTTACTTGACTAACCTCGACAGGACGCCTTAGGTTTTGCAGCTTTCCATTGACATGCATAACCTTTAATGCGGATATTGCAGAGACTATTCCTAGTGATCCATCAAATTTACCAGCATCAACAACAGTGTCCTAAAAAAAATAAGTATCCATCATAGTCAGTGATATGAATAATGAATCCTCACTCAAATTTACCATCAACTGTCAAGAAATAGTTCAGTCTCACCATGTGAGATCCAACCAACAAAGCTTCTGTATTTGCATTTGCACCCTCAACTCTACCATGTACATTTCCCATTTGATCCACCCAACTGTAAATAGCATATTCATTAGTTAAGCTTTAAGAGAAACTATTCACAGTTAAAGAATTCAGAATGCTAACGTTCTTAAACCAGCATCTTCCATCCATGTTTGAATAAGATCAATCGCCCTCAAGGACGCGGGACTCAAAAATGTTCTCTCTAGATAGCCACTAGCATCACTGACCTGTTCATTCAACACCAACATTAACATCTAAGAACAAACAATTCTAGTGCACCAGCCACTGGATTTTAGCCTTTTCTGCATAGTGTGATGTTGCATATCATCAACATTGAACAGCATTTTGCAATTTCAAGCATCATTTAGGAATTTCAACAATGTGAATTCCAAGAATCTATCATCATATACAGTCATATCATATGCAATTTTTTTTAACAGAATAGATATATTAATGGAAAATTATCAGAATTAGAGTGAGTTGATGAGGTTATGTACCTTTCCAAGCTCAACAAGCCTTGCCACCGCCTCGTCTCTTAGAATCTGCGGAAACAAATCACCCCTTTTTTCTAAATCTCCAGTTTCAATTCCTAACCATTTTCAAGTAAGCATTTAGCATATCCAACCACAAGAACTGAAAAAGGCTAATCTAATCTGTGCTTCTGTTTTAATTTCTTTTCACCTCTTTCCAAATTAAATTAAGCCAATATTCACAATTAAGTTTCTCATCCACCACATATAAGTAACAAGAAACACGCAAACCACAATTATTCTATTTTTTTAATGATATTCCAACAGAATCTCCCATGTTTTATCAAGTGTCAGCCTCAGATTTAACAAAAGCACACTCAACATAAGCCCAGAAGGAGTCAAACAAAGGGCCCACATAAACATTTCATAAAAGAAGATCCTTTTCATTTTTCTCAGCTTGCTCAGATGTTATATTGGTGACTGACGCCATAAACGGGACAATCATATCCATGAAACAAGCTGAGGTGGCGTTTGTTGATTCCAGGCTTTAGTTGAGATGCTTCTGTTGCATCAAAACCTAAGAGAGAGAAGACAAAATGATTTTTTTTGCTAGCATCGTAGAAAGGGAATCTGAATCCTAAAAAGGGTATCTTTACATTTCATCCAACCAAGATTCCAAGAATCAAAACAAAAACTTGAATAATATTCTGGTTTTTTTAACAGTAGTACTTTTCTGATGTTATTATATATATAAACAAATCAAAGAAAAAGAAGAAAATGGAAATAATAATTACCAGAAAAGAAAGAAGCACGTGAAGGAGTTGAGAGGAAGAGACAGAAGAAGAAGAAGATGATGCAAGAATGGAAGAAAATGGAAGTGGATGTCATAGTGTGTGGCTATGGTGAGTTATTAGATGGATAGAGAGAGAAGAAAGGAAGCAAAATCGTAACTGAGTTACGAGTTCTCTCTTTCCAATCTGAAGGAGGTAACCAAAGAGTTAGGAATATATGAACGAGAGCATGTGGTGGCGGCTGCTAGGAAACAAGACTCGTGACATGAACGAGAGCGATGCGGGACCCTATGAAGTGAGTGGTTCTGTGATACTTGCTTTTGTTTTTGTAACTCTGCATGGTGTTGACATCGTTACGATTCTAAGATTGAGATTCGATCCAAAAAATAATAAGCATCAAATTTATATGTTTAACGACACTAATAAGTTTAGTATGAGATTGGACGTCATACGAGAAAGGATTGGACAGATCCAGAAAAGACTAAGCAAAGTCGGTTTTTTCACTACTTGGACAGGTAGTCGGCCATGTAGTAGAGATTCTAGGACATTAATCGTCTTTTTTTTCCTATTCTACTACATTCTTGAAATAAATTTAAACTCAAATAAAAATAAAAAATTAAAACTCGAATTCCTCTCAAATGAAAAATTATCATCTATTTATTATTTATTATTTTTTAATAATTTCTTTAAGTATAAAAATAATTTTATAATTCTTTAACACAAACCAATATAAAAATATTTGTTATTCATTATATTGATTTGATGTTAATCAAGCTAAGTCCAATCTACTTTATCAATGTGATTTTGCCTTTTTATTATTTTAAATAATTATTAAATGAACAAATTAATTAATATCTTTTTAAATAAATAAAAAATTATTTTAAAAAATTAAAATAATGAATACAAATATAATTTTCTTCATTAAAAATTAAATTTATAATTTAATTAATTAATCAATTAATTAATTAAAATCATTAAATAAACAAAAATATGAAAAAAATTATAATAAAATATTCAACCCCTCAGCTAATAAATGGTCGAGCTCCTTCATGACTACAAACATAGGATGCACTCGCTCATTGATTGGACGAGTCCCTTCTTGAAAAGGGATACCTTGAGAAAAAAATTCAAAATGTGGCAGTTTTGAATTTTAATTTTTAAGAATGGGGTAAAAAGTGAAAATTTTCACACTAATCACATACATAAATGATTAAATAACACAATAATTGTTGGCAATACCTTTTTAAAAAAAATATTATGACATAAATTGGTGGAAGGGTAAACTGGATTCTTCCTCTTAATTCTCATTTTGTTTGGACTTTTGAATTTTTTAGAGAGAGAATAAATTCTGACTTTTTCATCCAGGTGGAAGGGTATACGATATTCTTCTTCAGACTTACTCTTTTTCTTAGTGTGCACAGATAGAAGATGAGTAGGACTATTTGTTAGTATGAGATTTTCGATTCAGTGTGTTCGTTAGGAGTGAAAATCTGGGATAAAGACACAAGCTAAATACAGGTAGCTAAATCATGTTTTCGACCCCAAAAAATCATAAGATTTGACATATGGAAATCTCGATAGAGACAGTTCAAGATGTTTTCGATAACAATAGCAGTTTGAGAACTGGAGTCACGTGCAAACGAATTAGATGACATAAGACCACATAATGGTGTATGTGTCAAATTCTATAGATTTAGTCGGTGTACACGGTTATTAGTGTACATGTATATAAGTCGATTTGATCTTTGTAACAAGGGCTCACATTTTTCATTGTTGTTCTCTATAACATTAAAACATTCAAGTTACGTAGATAAACAAATTTGTGAGAAATGTCTGAATCTAGGCTCCACTTTAATCCAAGCACTTTTACTTCATCATTTTTATTACTTTCCTTTGTTTAGTTTATCTTTTCAAGCAATTTTGCACTTTACTTCTTGTGATTTTTATCACATTGTTTTACATTCAAAAGCTAAGCTATCAAGCACGAATGCATTTTCTCAAACACTTTTTCACAATATGTCCTTAGAAATTTTTCGAGTTTAATCTTGTAAGTGAATTAAAACTCATGATTTGAATTACTAAAAACAACAACAAACAAATTGGCACGCCTAGTGGGACCCTTTTTGTGCATGAAATTTAAACTTTTTCATAAAAGTATTTGTGCTTTTATCATTTTGTTCTTCATACATGCAATGTTTCCAATGTTTGAGTGTTTATGCATTTGACGAGTGGTAAAATTCTTAAGATGGATCATCAATCATTGAAAAATCCACCCCTTCCTCAAAACAATTCTCTGGATGTATAAGAACAATCAATTCAATCGACGGTTGGTGGTGCAGGAACTTCAACTTTTACTATAAGTCAAATGTCAGTTTCGATGATGTTTCTAGAGGTGGTGGTTCCCCACCACAATCAACCAGTTTTTCAACTACTTGCGGGTTTACACAAACTACAATAGGAGACCATATGCATTCTTTCCTCCCAATTTTTACGCTACCCTGTGGTAGTAGGAAATAACCATATGGCATGCCAACTACAACGGTGACATGCCTAAAAACTAATGCATCTACGTATGCAGATAATGCAATGACTATTGCATCTCCTCTTAATCAATACCTAGCCTCAAGATCTGTTATCAACATTTCTAGTCGGATGACACAACCCCAAAGTGGATTAGGATATGTTTGTCATGTTATGCAACATTTAACTACTAGTTCCCTTTTGGTTATGGGGCAACAAATGGATGATACCAACCATGATATGGTCAATATGCTTACCCAACAAATTGGTTATGTGTTTAATCCTTAAGTCCAAAACACAAACCATAATTTCCAGCAATTGGTGTATCAAATGGGTCAGATTGTTGATTTCTTTGGTGCTCCTGAATCGTTGATTCAAGCGATTGAAGCAATTTAAAATTTAGGAGTTGTAAATAATGAAGGTTTTCATAATAATCAAGTAAAATAAAGGGTTATGCCCCAACCGGTCAAACAACCCATACTCGGGGTAGTCGAATGGGATTTAGATCGTAATGGCCCAGAGGCAGTGTTGGTCAATAGCAACCAGGATGCAGGCCAAGTGGTTAAGGGAGTCCAACAAACCAATTTTTTGGGGGAGAGGGGGGGAGAGTAACATAACCAATGTGCTTGAACAAATCTTAGCCCAAAATGGTCTTAACATTGGTCTTCACAGACCAAATTTTGTTTCTACCTTGTCTGAATATGTATTGTAGAATGAAATCCCAATGGGTTGGAAAATTCCTAAGTGCGCTAAGTTTGCAGGCGATACTAGAGAATCTACTATCGAACATATTGCGTGATATCAATGAGAGGCGTGTGATTTAAATAATTATGAAAACTTAAAGATGAAATATTTCCTGAATTCCTTGACTAGAGCACTTTCATATGGTTTACTACCTTTCATCCACACTTTGTATACAATTGGAATCAACTAGAAAGAGTATTCCATGAGCAATTCTATACGGGTCAGTCAAAAATTAGCGTGAAAGAACTAGCTAGCGTGAAGAGAAAATTCACTGAGTCGATAGATGAGTATCTCAGCAGGTTTAGGTTAATGAAGGCGATATGCTTTACTCAATTTCCAGAGTATGATTTAGTCGAAATGGTTGTAGGTGGCCTAGATTATTCCATTAGGAAGAATTTAGATACCCAATACCTAAAGGATATGGCCTAATTAGTAGAAAGGGATCGACAAGTCGAACAGTTAAAGGCTAAAAATGACGTTTCGATGTCCTAGGGCCTTAGGAGCCTATGAATGAGTGGTAATGCATTTTGCCTGAAGAATGCTGGTGAAACGTATTAAAGGGTGATGAATTATATGCTTCATGATTTCATTGAAACCTTTATACAAGTTTATACTAATGATATAGTTATCAAGTCTTTGTTGAAAAATGGTCATTTGGACCATCTTCGATGGTCATTCAAAAGAATGAGGAAATAACTGAATGAAAATGAATCCATTAAAATGTTCTTTTAGTGTCTATGCACGCGACTTTCTAGGCGTTGTGGTTCACAAAAGGGCATAAAAATAAATCAAAACTAGACGAAAGCTATACTCAATACAAAATCTCCGAAAAACAAAAAGAAACTTCAATCTTTACTAGGCAAAATCAATCTTTTAAAGAAGGTTCATCTCAAATCTAAGTGGAAAAATAAAAGTATTTTCACCATTGCTGCATTTAAATAAGGAAGAAGGATTCAAGTGGGACCAATAGCATCAAAGAGCCTTTGATGAAATTAAGAATTATTTGATGAATCTTCCTATTTTGTTGCCTTCTATGAGAAATATATCTATGAAGTTGTATGTTTATGCATCTGAACTGAAAATAGGAATTATGTTAGCCCAATAGGATGATGATGGTATTGGAAGAACCATTTATTACCTTAGTCAAGTCTTGAATGATGCAGAAACTAGGTATAACCTGATAGAAAAGTTATGTCTCTGTTTGTATTTCTCATGTACTAAATTGAAATGTTATATAAAGCATATTGGTTCGTTTGTTTATTCCCATTTTGATGTTATTAAGCATATGCTTTCAAAACCTATTTTACAAAGTTGAATTGGGAACTGGGATTTGGTTTTGAGGGAATATTATTTAATGCATCTATCGCTACGCGAAAAATAACATTGAGCCGCCACTGGATTTTATTTATCCCAATGAGGGAAAGGGAAATAATGATAAAACCTTTAGGAAAAGAGTATTGTCATCGCAACCAAGTTTTAGGATTCGGGAGTCGGTTATGTGAGGGGAAGGTATTAGCACCCCTTACATCCATCGTATTCGATGGGAACCTTCTAAGTTGTCTAGCTTGAATGGGTGTTTTAATCTAAAAGTTTGTGAGGGGTTGGTTTTTTATTAGAGTGCTCGCCAAGGATTGTGGCCCTTGTGCCTACGTATCCTCACTTAAAAGAAGTGAAGAATCAGAGCTCCGTAGTTCGGAGGCTTGTGAAATGGTTGTATGTCTGTTGATTTTATACCTTGAAAAAGGGTTTTCGGATTGATGCCCTAAGGCAAAAATAAGTTTGATGAGTTGATGTTTTTTAGGATTTTTGAGAAGAAATTGTTCTTGATTAGGA